AGTAGTGGGAGATGGATACATGTGGAAGAGGAGTGAAAGGGAGTAATCATAATCTCTCTTTCTCGCTCTGCCTCTCCTCCACAAAGAATTATTAGATGATGTAGGGATGGGAGGCAAGCACAGGCTGAGGATTGGCTGGGCTCACACAGCAGTGGAACATCAAAGCCCCAGGCATTAACCGTTTCTATCCCCAAGAGTGACAGAGACTCGCTTTGATGTGCAGGGAGAGAGGGAGAGCGATACGGAGCGAGAGCAGAAGGCGACTGGGGAGGAAAGAGAGAAGGGAGGGGGCTACTCTATTACCTAATGAAGTCAGTGCGTTGGTAGAGCTGAGGATAGATATGGAGGAAGGAGAAACCAAAACCAAGATTTTTTTTTTGTTCGTTCACACGTCATGATGATTAAGACAAGTATTGAGTGAATTGTAAAACTGGAGGACTTACAAACAAAATTTGAACAGAAGGACAGTGAAAATGGTTAAACCGCAGGGTGGGAACTCCTGGCGACTGTTGTTTAGGCTCAAAAAAAGAAGGCTAACATTTCCCACATTGACACTAGATGGCCTTTGTTAGATCCTAGATCCTCCTCACCTCGCTGATTTGTTGTAGAAGTCCAATGAAAACAGTGGAATCGACGATACTGCCACGTTGATTTAGGAGTCTTGTAGTTTTTAGGAATACGGTTTTGGTTTGTATTTAAAAATTTAAAAAAAATTAACAATAGGGATGATTAATTAATTATAAATATAATCTTACTTGTTATTACATGTTTTTATTTCCTGTTTCACAAATAAAGGACAAGTAATAGTGGCTAAGAGCTTGCCTACGTACAACTCTGCATATCCTGGTGTTGATTATGCTAATAAGCTTTCAATAGAATGGAATGTTTTAGCCTAGCATAAACAGCCTAATATAGCTTATTAGCATAATCAACACGAGGATATGCAGAGTTGTACTTAGGCAAGCTCTTAGCCACTATTACTTGTCCTTTATTTGCGAAACAGGAAATTGAACTGGGACACAAAACTCTGCCATTAGTGTAGCAAATGTCTAATATGTTTCCAGGCAAAATATTTCTAGTCTAAGGTTAAAAAAAATCACTTAGCTCTTTTAACCAAGGCGAAGGCGAAATGAAAAAAAGTTGTGTTTTTATTTGCTATGTACTGTGTACTATGGCCACATGTAGAGAGGATGATGAAATGTAAAAGACTGATGGTGATATCTTTGTTCAGTGCCCACAGGGCACAGATTCAGTTCTGACTGTTTTTAAAAGCCTTGTGACCAAAGATAGCCTGGGACAAAATTCAGATAATGACAGTAATTTAATATCTCACAATGTGACTTCTGCTGTGACCTACATCTACAAACCAACCGACTGTAATGCGGCATGAAATGATGCGCTGAGCAGCGCGACACCGGCATGTGTCAAACAATTTGTTTGAATTTCCAGCAAAGCAAGAAATTCGAGTGGCAACCTTCAGGGATAAAAAATTAAACCACCCTGGAAGTAGTTTCATTCCAGTTTAAGTTTCTCCAGTGGTCTCTTGCACCAAAAGCCAGGCAATCACAATAGACTATCATTTTAAAAAGCCCAATTTTGTATCGTTCGAAAGCCTTTTTTCAGCATGGTGCCATAATTTTGCCAACCAATCGAATATGTAAAATCCTGTAAAAAGCACCAATGCCGCAAACACACGCCACGATTTTCAGCCCGGTGACTACAGCTGACGATAATTCAGCCATTGTGTTTAATTCGTGCTGTGGCTACATAATAACTTGAAATCCCTCCTTCATTCACACAAATCCAAAGCGAAGTTTTACCTTATATTACCCATGTGAATTCAGTCATGTTTGAAACCTGGAAATAAA